TGAACACATGAATTTTGGGAAAGTTCTTCATGTATTTTAGATATCGTAATCTGGAATCACTGTGCTTCCTGCATGTTAACTAGTGAAAGTAAAGGCATCAAGTAGATGCTCTGCTATCTCTCTCATCAAGTCTATGCTTTGCATAAGCTTGGAAAATTGGTCTTATACTTCTGAGGCCTGGTATAGTGATACCAGTATGCTATACCAGCAAAGCAGTCCTAGTATGGATGCATCTTATATTGTGCTTTATATTCCAGCCCCCCTGTGGGAAATGAGTTATACCTGCAGAAGTGTAGTGTCACAGACCTGAGTGAACTCCCCCTTGCTGGACTCTCACCAGGCTGCTGTGCTTGGATCCAAACCTAGGATCTGATGTGTTTCTGAGCTCCCCTGGGTCTCAGCAGGCTTCATCCACTCTCTCTTTGGCCTCTAGGCTTAATTCCTGGACATAGATGCTCTGTCTGGTATCACTTCTCAGGAGCGAGACCCCCAAAGTACAGCTGCCCTATGCTCCAGGACCAGTGTTGATTCCCCAAGACACCTCAGTAGCTCAAGCACACTCTTTCTCAGAACTTTGTCTTTGTGGGTACTCTGGTTTATAGTTTAACCCTTTGGGAACACAGGTGATAGCTGAAGCAAGAAAACACAGACCTTGCCAGAGGAGTTCTAAACCTATCACACTTTACTCATAGACAACACAAGAGATATTCAGATCTATGCAAAATAAGAAACACCTGCATGCAAATCCCTGCCTCACTTTACTCACCACTCTAAGAGTCCTTTGGGATTCAGTCAGTGTCTGTTCAGGAAGTCCAGGAGTCTGCTGTATCCCCTCTCCTTTCTTCCTTACTCCAACTCAGTTTTGCCTTCTTATTCTGGTCATTGAGAGACAGCTACTCAGAGCAGACCATGCCATTTTATAACTTCCAATGGTGTCTGTCAGGTGACCTCTCTGATCTGCTTCAAGTGCCCATCAGGTGACCAAAATCTCCCATCAGGTGATTTGTTACTTGGTTACCAGCCCACCTGGGAGAAGTGGATTTCCTTGGGTGGTAATCAGCCCTTTATCTGAGGGCACTTCCATTTGAATGGAAGTCACCAAGGTTTAATAACTCTCCATTGTTAGCTCTCTGCTAGGTGCAAGAATTTCTCCTGGTACCTCCAATGTGTTTCAAGCTCAATATGAAGGCTACAGAGCCAGCGTGAAAGCACAGAACAGATTTACAATCAAAATGGCCTTTACAAAAACAACAACAACAACAAAAACAAATGGAGGTTGCAGATTGATACAGATAATATGCAGACATATATTAATTATGACTGTCAAATGATTAAAAAAATTAATCACTATTAAAAAAATTAATCGCGATTAATCACACTGTTAAACAATAATAGTATACCATTTATTTAAATATTTTTAATGTTTTCTACATTTTCAAATATATTGATTTCAATTACAATGCAGAATACAATGTGTACAATGCTCACTTTATATTTATTTTTATTACAAGTATTTGCACTGTAAAAAACAAAATAAATTGTATTTTTCAATTCACTGAGTACAAGTACTGTAGTGCAATCTCTTTATCATGAAAGTTGAATTTACAAATGTAGAATTATGTACAAAACCCCCCTGCATTCAAAAATAAAACAATGTAAAACTTTAGAGCCTACAAGCCCAATCAGTCCTATTTCTTGTTCAGCCAATTGCTCAGACAAACAAGTTTGTTTACATTTGCAGACGATAATGCTGCCTGCTTCTTGTTTACAATGTCATCTGCAAGTGAGAACAGGCGTTTGCATTGCATTGTTGTAGCCGGTGTCGTAAGATATTTACATGCCAGATGCGCTAAAGATTCATATGTCTCTTGATGCTTCAACCACCATTCCAGAGGACATGCGTCCATGCTGATGGCGGGTTCTGCTCAATAACGATCCAAAGCAGTGCAGACCATCATCTGAGTCAGATGCCACCAGCAGAAGGTTGATTTTCTTTTTTGGTGGTTTGGGTTCTGTAGTTTCCGCATCAGAGTGTTGCTCTTTTAAGACATCTAAAAATATGCTCCACACCTCGTCCCTCTCAGATTTTGGAAGGCACTTCAGATTCTTCAACCTTGGATCAAGTGCTGTAGCTATCTTTAAAAAATTCACATTGATATCTTCTTTGCATTTTGTCAAATTTGCAGTGAAAGTGTTCTTAAAATGAACAATATGCTGGGTCGTCATCCAAGACTGCTATAATATGAAATATATGGCAGAATGTGGGTAAAACAGAGCAGGAGACATACAATTCTCCCCCAAGGAGTTCAGTCACAAATGTAATTAACGCATTATTTTTTTGACGAGCGTCATCACCATGGATGCATGTCCTCTGGAACGATGGCTGAAGCATGAAGAGGCATATGAATCTTTAGTGCATCTGGAACATAAATATTTTGCCACACCAGCTACAACAGTGCCCTGTGAATGCCTGTTCTCACTTTCAGGTGCATTGTAATTAAGAAGTGGGCAGCATTATCTCCCATAAATGTTTTGCCAGTATATCTGTGTTAACACTAGGTGCTCTTGCTGGAATGTTGGTCAGGGATCACACCTCTTCATTAACACACACCGCACCATAACAACTCTAACTCAGGAACCAACCCATGCAACAAACCTCGATGCCAACTCTGCCCACATA